ATTATAGACTGAAATAAATAAGATGTATTTCAATGAAAATAGACGGCTAGCCTGTCACGGGTTTCCATTTTCTAACTCTTCATTATATTAAGTTGAATAAAACGTTTTGTCCTCAAATGCAAACAGAGGCTTCGGTGAGCTGAAACGAGCTGAAACCGTTCCGAGATGGAACTTAATGATAAGTGAACGATTTGTCTTAAAAAGCTGACAGATTAATAAAAAATCGAAAACATTGCGGTCGTGTGGTAAAAGCAATTGTTCAGCGGTAAATAATGCTAACCTTCTTGTTATTTATAATCAAAACCAGGATAAAGTAACGGTACCTACGAAATCTGCTCGCAGCAGAACTGAGCTTATCTCTCTTTTGCAAGTCATTGCTCCGGCGGGTGAAGATTTAAATACTGAGAAAAATTTAAATTAGCATATGTCAATTTTCACTCGATTATAAAATGTAATTAAGGAAAACCGATAGAAACTCTTAGTGGTTGCCATTTGATATGTTATCGTATCTCTGTCATGACATTAATTTCCTTCTTTTTTCAGGTGCATAACAACTGTTTACAATGGTCATATTCTTGACGATCTACATTATCGCACTGTCTTTCTCAGTGATAACAGGAGAAGACCGGTATCATCAGCCTGGTAACATCACAATTGGAGGTCTCTTCCTGTTGCACTACACCACGGAAAATGGTAAATGTGGAGAATTTTTCCCAATAGGCCTTGGGCACGTGGAAGCAATGATATTCGCCATCGAAAAAATAAACAGCGATCCTAATCTACTTCCAAATATTTCTCTGGGATACGACATCCGCGACTACTGCGAAAGCGCTGCAAAGGCGATGGAGCACACGTACGATTTTGTCAGAAGAAATGAGCTGATGGGGGAAGTCCAAAATGCTAGTTGCACGTGTGTGAATGGGAAAGACAGGAAGCAGAATGAGCCAACGCCCATAGCAGCTGTTATTGGCCCAACGGATTCTGGGAGTGCCGTGCTGGTGGCAAGCCTTTTGCAAGTGGCTGGTATTCCGGTCATCAGCCATTCGGCAACAAGCAATGAGTTAAGCTCTCCGCAATACCGTCATTTTTTTCGTACTGCACCTCCAGACGGACAGCAGGCGAGTGCCATGGCAGATATCATACAATATTTTAACTGGAGCTACGTAGCTGCTGTGGCGATGGACGATTCCTACGGTCGTAATGGAGTGTGGGAATTGGAATCCGAAGCTGAAAAGAGGAAAACGTTTTGCCTCTCGTTTGCCGAATATATACCACGACAAGAGTACAATGTGAAGCTGAAAAGAGCTGTTAGCAAGCTCAAGAGCTATCCGACCATTCGCGTCGTGGTTTTGTGGCTTTTCGGTGGATATGGACGTGGGTTCCTCAAAGAGGCAGTCAAACAAAATCTATTTGACCGCACGTGGGTTCTAAGTGATGCTTTGGCGACAGAAGATGATGTATTTGTAGGAATAAAAATTAGCGATCAAAGAATTCTCCATGGATCACTCGGTGTTCAACCTCGATATTTGGACAATCAGGAATTCGAGAATTTCTTGATCAAAGAAAGGTCTATGGTATCTGCAACGAACGTAGCTCCCTGGTGGAAAGAGTTTTGGCAAAGTGAGACTCAGCATAACTGCTCTGCAATAGCGACGAGAAAGGAACGGAATGCTTGTATGGAGAGGGTTTTTCGCATCATTTATGACACCTACATTCCATACGTGTTGGACGCAGTTTCTGCTGTCGCAAACGCCATTCACGACCTAGAAAATTGTTCTTCGCCAGAAAGGAAAAATTCTGCAGATGCGTGCCCAAAATATCATGTTACTATAGACTCAGAAGAACTCGAGACGTCCCTCCGCCGTGTTGACATCAAAGGATTGACTGGACGGATCAGTTTTGATCAATTTGGAGATCCTGTAACGTCTTCCTATGATATCGTGCATTTTCAAGACAGCGATGAATCATCAAATCAACGCTATCTTGTTAAACGTGCTATTGGCTCGTGGGAAAAGGATCGAAAGCAAAACCTCCAGTTAAATGATACCATGATCAGGTGGAATGCAAAATCAGGGCAAACAGTTCCTCCAAGGTCATTCTGCCATGATGACTGTCCTCCTGGCACGTTTTTGTCGCTGACGACCCCGTGTTGCTGGGAATGCATTAAGTGCCCGGCTGGTACCGTAAGTAATCGCGTTAATGACGTGAACTGCACTGAGTGCCCTTTGGGACAGATGCCGGATCAAAAAAGGTCCAAATGCTTGGATCTCCCAGAAGTTGAGTTCTTGTGGTCCAGCATGACCTCCATCCTTGTGATCCTTTTTGCAACTATTGGACTTGCTCTCGTCGGCATTTGTAGCTTCGTCCTCTATAAGCATCGCGAAACACCTTTGGTGAAAGCAGCAAACCGTGAATTGAGTTCGATTCTTATGGTGACAATCGCGCTATCTTTTTCTGTGTCCATTTTATCTCTTGCCAAACCCACAGACATCACGTGTAGTTTGGTTCACTGCTGGCGGTCAACGGTGCTCGTTACATTCATCTCTATCTTGATTCTTAAGACAATGAAAATACTAAGCGCATTCCGAATAAACGTGATCGCAGAAAGATTTAAAAAGTTTATTCTTTCAGCGAAAAATCAAACATTTCTAGTTCTGGTACTTATCTTTATACCGGGTATGTTTCTGTCGTTCTGGATTGCGTTGGATGCTCCACGTCAAGAGCGAATCATACAGCAAGTAGAAGGAACCGTTCTATTGTCGTGTTCTCTGCACCAATCATCTATTGGATTGTCATTGCAGATCGCCATTTCGGTATATACATCGTTCCTTGCAGTTGTTTGCACGTTCTATGCCTTCAAAGCAAGAACACTACCCGAGAATTTTAACGAGGCTAGATATATTGGATTCTCTATGTACATTTTGCTACTTTCGTCTGTAGCATACTATCCTCTTGATATCGGCCTCAAGGGCTCCTACGCAATAAACCTGACATGCGCAATGACTCTTCTGAACTCTTACGGGCTGCTGGCCTGCATGTTCGGTCCAAAGATTTACGTCATTATGCGGCAGCCTGAAAAGAATACCCATGAGGCTGTTAGTTCCCAAGTTTCGGATTACTCTTTTAACAGTTCCCCTAAAGGTAAAAACGGCATTTCTCCTGAGAAAGCAAGCAACCAAGAACAAATGCATCAGGAATTTGCTTCTGTTAGCAGTTTAACAAACTAGTTACGGCTTCGTATTTAGGTTTTTAGAGTCGGCAGAGGTCCGTATAGTTCGAGGCATTACTATTGTAATCCGAGTTCACGATGGCGTACAAACAAAAGTTTTGAAATCACTTTTATTCCCATGCTTTCCTCCTGTGTTCCCAACGATTGCGCTTATTGTGCAAGTATAAACAGTTTTTAGTTTCAGCCTGCGTTTTTTACCCAGACTGCGGTTTGCATTTTGTACCCAATCTGCAGTATTGTACTGTCTGCATTTTGTACTGACCGGATGAAAGGTCACGTAGAATGATTTGAATGAAAAAGAATGGTTTCCTTTGCATTTGAATTTTGAATTTAGTGAATTTAGCTGGAAATACGGTCCAATACGACTCCTGCTCATTCGTCCGACTGTTTCATGCATGCACTGATTTTAAAACTGTCTAGTGAAATGGACGATTGAGTTTTAAGAGTCATTGTCTGAGAAAACCAGGTGGTCAGAGAAGGGGGTCGGCCAAATTATTCCATAATAACATCATAGACAGGTTATGTGGACTAATGGTTAAATACACTGAAGTTTGCTCTTCAAGTGTTTTGGTATAGGAGATTAAGTATCCACTCTCCATCACCCCCTCAAGTCCCAGCTTTTGTGGTAAGTTTGACTCAAATAACCAAGATATAAAGGAACAAGAGGAATATGGCAAGCCGTTGCTGGATTGAATGTAGCAGAGTTTTTCAAACATTTGTTTAGCTATCGAAACCCACGAAAAGTTTATTTTTGTCCGCGGGGATGTTTTGCAACAACTCGAGACATGTTAAAAAAAA